AAAGAAGAACCCTTCAGTTGATAGAGTTGCTCGTGACATCTGGAATCATCGTATCATCGACTAGAGGAAATCTTGTACCCTAACTTTAAAAACAGGAACCCTTCAGTCGACGCAGTGACTTGTCCCTGCTATTGCAATCATCGACCAGAGGAAATCTTGTACCCCAACTTTGAAAGCAAGAACCCTTCGATGATTACAGGTTCTCCCATCTGGAGTCATCGAATCATCGAATCGTCGACTAGAGGAAGTCTCGTACCCCGCATATAAGAAAAGAAAGAAGTCGGGAAAAGGATGATTGAATGATAAAAATGCTTTTTATCCGCCATCCCTGCGTGACTAGCGCAGGGTACAGAGGAAGAGTCTTGGAGGTTAGGGTTGGCGCGTGGAAGGCAGAGCAGCCGTGGTCGGCCGCGGTCGTTCATGGAAACGACGTCCCGGCGGAGGCGGTGGTGTCGGGCGAGCGTAGAAGGGAGAACGGAAATATGCAGTTCGTATTGAGGCAGGTCGGTGCAGCGCCACGAGTCGCGCTCCAGGCGCAGAGATCAATGCACCCGCCCCCTTCGTGCCTAGCCGTCGTCGACGTCCACGTCGGGTCCGCCTCGTAAATCCGCGAGCGACCGGGATGCGTCCACGGGAACGTGATCGCGATGAAATTCCTCCGGTGGATCTCTAGTCTCGAGAGTGCGACCGGAAGAATGGGAGAGGACGTGCCGGTTACGTAAGCAGGCACGCGAGAGCGAGGTGTGTCGTCGCGTGAAGAGACCCCGATGAAGAGGATGCTCTGTCGGGGCTGAGGTTCCGATAGACGTTAAATGAGTGCTCGTGGAGGATTCCCAGGGAGACAACAAGCTGAGCAACAACACCTAGCCCATGATCTCCGAAGACAACACTGGCTGACTCCATTGCAGCGATAATCCGTCGAGGATAAAGACAAGAATAAAGTCTTGCCAAAGAATAGGGATGAGACCCAAAGGAGTGAGACTCGGACTGTAATCGTCTGAAAATTCTACCGGAATCACCATGTTAACGAGGAACTGTAGTCTCGGGATCACAAGACTGCAGGCGTCCCGTTTCTCGCGAGAGATGTTGATCCGTAGCTCATAGTCACCGCTGGACCATGGTGGAACCGGACTCGCCCGCGTCTCCTGATAGTAAACGGTGACCTAGCGGTGCGACGGAGGCGAGGGCGGTGTTCGGAGCTGGCTTTCAGAGAGAAGGCTTTTCGCGGGGGCGTAAAATGACGGACGAGCGTGTCGGGGAGCCAGGTTGCGCGGGGACGCAGCTCGGGGCCGACGAGGACGACGGTCAACAACTGGTTGGGGAGCGATGGTAGGATAAGATGACTTCACCAGTGGGCAAACCGATCGAGAGAACCGTAGGGAGAGACGAGAGGTAAATCCATGCTGCTCCTCGAGTGACTGCAAATCCGATGAGCCTGGTAGAGGGGGCGGAGGAGCAGGGGTGGGCGCGAAGAAGAGGAACGGCTGGCTAGCCTCGCTGATGCGATCATGCAAAGTCCATCGACCAGACGGAAGACGTTCCTTCTACTGTCGTTTTCGTCGGTGGCCAGGGATTAAAGAGACTGTTATGGGTGGCGAACGGAGTGGAGGGTGAGACGAGGTCCAACGAGGGTAGGACACCACCGGGGTGGGTGGAGGAAGAGGGAGAGAGAGAGAGTGCGCGAAAAAAAGACGTATCGACGGACAGAAAGGGAGAGAAAGAGAGAGAGGGATGTCGAGGAGAGAGAGGCCATTTCTTCGTGGAGTGTTCTCGACCCTGTCCCAATTTCCAGGCTCGTGATAGGGGCGGACTCGAGAGCGCGATGTTACGGATTAACCGGCTGCGAGATGAGCACCGAGCGATTGTGGTCCATTGTCGATGAAGGAAGACGCTATAAGCTTCTCGGGGATAGCAGGAATCTGTCGAAAATTCTAATCAATTGAGGGAACGTTGAGACACAGAAGAGTGGCCAGACTAGGGGAGAGATAGAGAGAGAAGGAGAAGAAAGGAGAGAAGGAGGAAGAGATAGTAAATATTAGAGACACGAGGAAGGGGTGATGAGGAGTACAACAGGGTTCAGGTGCATGAACTATCGGTAGCGTGTGTATAGGCAAGCAGAATGTTCAAGAGCAGGATATTCCAGGGCGATCTCAGCCCTGTCCCAATTCCGGGCAGCCTGCAACAGTCCAGTACGTAATAATGAGGGAAACCCTTTACAGTTAGATCGATCGTTCGACGCACGTTTCGCGCAGGGGATCAATCCTTCGGGCTCTCTGACTTATGAACATGGATGGTTAAGCGTTTCCAACTGTGCGCCATATTTTTCATCGCCTTTCTTCTGTTTATTTTTGGACCGAGGGGGTAGATTTTAGGTGACTTCATTGGTCGCTGGTGATATTCGATTGATGGAAGTATAGAAATATAGGGATGGGTTCGATCGTGATATTTACAATTAGATAGATACAATTGCGATTAGCTACCTTGGATTTTAATAATTTTGTTCGATACTGATGGGTACAGTGAAATTTTCTAGGCGAACATATGTTCGTTATCTTGGCAAAGATATTTTCTTGGTTATTGGTTAATTTTATTTTCGAACAATTGCAATATTAATTTGTAAAACTGGTAAAATGTTAAGCCTGGCTAGGGTATCGCTGTATCAGTCTCCTTCGACTCTAAGAGTTGCTCCACGTAGGAACTTTATTTTTAACTCACGAAAATATCTTTCACCAGATTACTCGTTCCTCTTTCTATTATCATAACGTCTTACCCAGTAACTTTCCAATTCTTCCTAATTATCTGCTGCCTCGTGGAATTATATTATTCAAATCATTCTCTCGTTTAAACCAAGCGAAATTAAATCTCCAAACGATAATCTTATTTTTAACATACCTACGTTTTCCCTACGTGGCCCTTTGCCAACCCGCACTCCCTAACCTATAAATATTACGCGGACTTCCGTCCGTAAAGTAAAGTATTAATTTAATAAAAAGTAAAATATTAATTCGCCTCAAACGAGCCCTGTCCCGAACAAAATCTCATCATCGTGAACCTAACCCAACCCGACCCAATCACCTAAACACCAAATCCCCGCTTGCTCTCGAAAAGCCCACACTCGCCACCTATATAATTTTGCCAATCCGAAATAACTTAATTCCCACCTAAATCCTTGCAGCAACCCCTCCAACGCCTCTCGATATCCTTTCCTCCCCTGTACAACAATTTCGTGCTCCCGTTTCGACCATGACCTACTAGATCAGGCCACCCGTCCATGGCCGAAAGACGAAGACCTACGCAGAAAGGTTAAGACGAGGCTGATAACGCGAAAAAGTAGGTAGAGGTGTATCCAGGGGGTCGAGTGGGACACCAAACAGGTCAACGACCCGTTTGGTGCAGCTGTTATTGATCGACGAGGACGAGAGAGGACTCCAGCAACATCGCTCGTCCGTTTCGCCTAACCCTCTGCCTCTCTCGCTCTTCCTGCGTCCTGGTCCTTCCTGGTCCCAGCTAGAATCCACCCTTATCCACCACGAGGCCTGGCTGCGAACGAGGCACCGTTGGTTCACCTTGTCCTCAGCCGGGTGATCGTCGAATTTCCGGCACCTCTTCGACCCAGAAACTCACCCGTAGCTCGAGGGAATCCGGCAAAGAGCTGACCCAATAAACACTGGGTGACCTCTTTCCGCACTCCCTCCGCTCACCCTTGCCTCTCTGACCCGCCACCCTTCTCCCTTCTCTACCTCCACTTCTTCTTTTTCTCCTTTTTCTTCCATCCCCTCGACAACCATAAAAACAGCCATGGCAATCGTTACAGCCACTGGTCCAGTCCCTTTTCGACCAACACGGCGATTCTTTAAGCTGTTACTTACGTTACACGCTGTGTTTTCCGCTCTGAATAGCTCTCATTGAATAGGGGATGATTTAGGGGTTGAGAGTCGAGTCAACTCTAGCAGCCCTGCGGGGAAGTGGCTACGCGACAGGGGTGAATCGGATGTGAATCGTTGTTGCTTTCTCGTTTCCAGTTGCTCCTTTCTTTTTTATTCTTCGCCGATGGGGTAGAGAATCTTTTATCATAATGGGGAGCTTCGAATGGATACGAGAACCACACGGGGTAAGGCATAATGGGTACATTTTTCACGAGTTTATGAGAATTGTTGTGCCTGGTGACTGGAAATGGATGACGAGTCTACTTCACTACTTTTGAGCATATATACGCGATTAAAAAATAAAACAAAAGTAATTTTGCAGATGTTAGGTATTGACAAAAGTTACATTTTGAAAATTTTTAGTCAAATAAATGGGAAAAGCGGTAATTTGTAACAAATTAAAAATAGATGATATATGATTGATTTTGTATATATGTATATACCTGGTAACTAAATAGGTGGACTGAAAATAGATGAAAAGTCTACTTGACCCATTTTAAGTATATATTCTTGATCAAAAAATGAAACAGAAAGCTAATTTTACAGATGTTAGTAGCTTTTGCTGACAGAAGCTACTGCATTTTGGAAATTTTTGACTACGTAAATGAAAAAGATGGTAACTTTTAATAAATTAAAAATAGTTGATATGTGACCGATTTTGTATCAATCGGTATTTCCGAATATATGCATTTAATTGGAATATGAAATAACGAAAGCCAATTTTGGTGATATTGACGAATTTTTAATTTTGGGAATTTCTGGCTAGATAGGTAGACAATGGAACAACCTGTTGGAGGCTAAAGATAGGTGACGAGCCAATATACCTGATTTTGTAACAGTCGATATCTTTGAGCACGTATGTGTAATCGGATAATGAAATAGGAAGGTAGTTTTGTTAATATTGGCAAGCTGTCAAATTTTGAAAATCTTTTTAATGTAAAAATGTGTCCCATCGTGTTCTTGCCCTGTGGTATTTGTATATAAATGGTAAAACGAGACAGTTTTATAAAAGAGTAGTTGAATCTCAGACGAGTATAGAAGATGATGTTAATTAGATCTGTATGATGATTCCAGGCCAGCAAGGTCAGCAGGGCGAACAGGAGTTGGCAACGAAGATGCTGCAGATCCAGAGCAAAAGATTCTATCTCGATGTAAAACAGAACAGACGTGGGAGGTTTATCAAAGTAGCCGAGGTATTTCTGAATTTATTCTTTGAAAGATTTACTAATTTACACGAATAAGTTCAAAATTTATTCTTTTTCTTTAATATGGGGTAAAAGAGGAACAGACACTAAATTATTTTTCGTTTGCAGATCGGCGCGGATGGAAGGAGAAGCCAAATCTACCTGGCGCTTAGCACAGCATCCGAGTTTCGGAATTACCTTTCGACGTTTAGTGACTTTTATGCATCCCTAGGTAAACCGCAATCTCCAGTTCTTGCGAAATTTATACGAGGCATCGATATATGCCTCAAGGGAGAGCCTCAAGTTTTGCTAGATAAGCCTGCTCGTGTATGAAAAATATTTGCGTTTGGTTATAAGTTGCGTTTTAACACGTTCACTGTTGCTGCGTGTGAAAATGGATTTTTATTTTAGATAAAATATGTTAAATCAGTGTAACAGGGAAAGTTGTATGTAAAGTTAAGCACCCTTTAGAACCATCGGTTAATCGTTAGGCATCAACTTTTTCAAAATTTTCCCTTTTACTAAAAAGAACAAAAAAAAGAACACTTTGATCTGTTTTTAGTAAAAAAGTATTGATTTTTCCCTGCTTAAAATAAAGAGATTCAAGATTATCAATTTTGTCACAGTTATTTAGTTTGAAAAGTATGAGATTAGTGTAACTATTTTGAAAAAAATATATTTTGTATTTTTGTGCGACAAGTTGAAGTTTTGGAGAAAATGATTTGTAACGCTGTATTTGTCCCACCCGGTAGATTAATAATTCAAAATTATTCTGATTCACATGTAGGTCAGCGGACAATGAACCTGTTAACGCTTTTATTTCAAGACAAAATCTAATTTTAACAAAAAGAAACTATGTATTAGACACGAAAAATCTTATATCTGGAAATCTTGAGGTATCTTCTTAATATTTGAAAATCTTAAGCAATATTAATTTGTTAACAAGGGATTGTTAATATTAAATTAATATCGATACATAATGGACCATGAGAGTCTAAAAACCTGAAATATTTCTTTCATATTTTTCATTTTCAAATATTAAGAAAAGATAGGTTGTAGATACTTAGAGAAATCCATATAACCAAAATTTAATTCGTGCATCTTTCCTGTTTGAACCATTAAACCCACAGGTCCACCAAACTCGGAGAACGTGCCAGACGACGGGAAACTGAAGTCGGAAGTGATGACGAAGGATAACAGGCGGTATTACTTGGACCTCAAGGAAAATACTCGCGGCCGTTTCCTGCGGGTGAGTCACCCTGTATGTACCAGCCAATGCATTTACTTTCTACGATAAATGATAAGGAAGAAAAAGTCTGTCCCTTGTGGATATCGTCTTAAGGTGAAAGGATCAACCTTTCAAGGTGGTAAAGCGTTAAAAAAAGAAAAAGATCTGCGGGAACGTTTGAAGAGAAATGGTTTATCCAGACAAGCCACTTTCACCGTGCACCTGCTTAAATTGTAAAGGAAATCTGTAAAATATTGATTAAAATAATATTTTTTGTTGCACAGGTGTCGCAGACGATCACACGAGGAGGACCTAGGACGCAGATCGCGATACCGGCACAAGGTATGATCGAGTTTCGTGACTCGTTGACAGATCTCCTCGAAGAGTACGGTACGGACGATGGCGGTTTCAAGGGTGACTTGCCAGAGGGACGGTACATGCGCGTGGATAGCAAGAATTTCTATTTTGATATCGGCCAGAATAACCGTGGTATCTACATGAGAATTTCCGAGGTGCGTGTGTATCGCTGGCTAAAAATACGGGGTGTGTCTTGACATAGCTAGACACATTTGCTTTAGGGGTGGATTCAGGGGAGAAACTACTTTGTGTCAATGTATGGCTTATTTAGCAAACGGTGTCAGATGGAGACTGTAATTAAACGTGTATGATAATCGTTAAAATCTGCTTTATAAATTTTACTTTAAACAAGTAGTAAACATTTTAAAGCTTAAGGGAAATTTAGTAAGTTATATCTCGTGTGAAATGCGTTGTATTTCTTTCATTCTCAATATTGATTTATTCGCTAGACTATGACAGTATAAGAAAATTGTAGCTTGGAATGTAGTTCTAATGAGACATACATTTACACTATCGATTTTACTGTGAAATAGAAATGTTTCTAGTACCAGTTAATTAATTGTAAAATATCAGTGAAACTATTATCGTAGAGTAAAGATTCATGATACTGTAACGAAAGCAATGTATTCTTTAGCTTAAAGAACAAGTCTAACTGGCCGAAAAGAGAAAATATGACAAGAAAAAAATATGTTTTTACAGGTGAAGGCACACTTTAGAACAGCAATCACCGTACCAGAGAAATCCTGGGCGCGTTTCCGTGATATATTCGCAGATTACTGTGAAAGAATGAGAGAAAGGGGTGCTAGTAGCAACGTCGGCATGAACAGCGGCGGCGGAGGAAATGTCTTGCCCGAGGGGAGGGGCTCGGTGGTGGCACAGGTACCATCACCATCGACCTCACAACAGCCTAACCCCAATCCAAATTTAGACTCTCCCTTAATGAAGTGAAAAAGGCTTTAACTTAACTCGAACATTGGAATTATAACCGTAACTCGTTTTCAAGTCATTAAGCGAACTAAAGGAACTTGTCAGAGTCTATGCCATCGTCATCGCCATTTTCATCGACATCGTCATCGTCATTGTCACCGTCACCGTCACCGTCATCGTTATCGCCACCGTCACTATCACCGTCACTCGTCGTCAACTAAAAACACCAAAACTCGCCCGGAATGGGTTCTATATATAAAAAAATTATCGCCGCGGAGAGTTGAAACGATCAGCGAGAGCTGGTTGTTCGGCATAGAAATTCGTAATTGCACGCAGATTCGATAGAGAAGGTAACCGACGCAATCGATCATCGTCGCGTCGACTTCCGATCTATCGACCACTACCAATTGTGGGATAAAGAGGGAAAACAAACAGGAGAAAGGAGGAAAAAAATAAACGATGAAGGATAGTGGATAAAGGAGAATAGATGATGTGTGTGTGTGCGCGAAACAAAAATAAGAAACGAGTCTGCCGCTCGTGCGATTCCACGGAAATACGCAACGACGGGATCGTGGATATATAGAATTATTGCGCGATGTCCTTAGGTGGATACGAGTTGCCATCGATTAACGTTATGAGTACTACCGTTCATTTCCTGAGCTATTCTTCTATACCATCATCGATTTCATTTGAATTCGTTCTCCGTTTGTTTTTTCTCGCTTCTAAAATTTCTTATTGGGAAATCAGCTTTCATACCGATTTCTTATTTTGCTGGTTATGGATACATTAGTTTCAATAAAATGATAAAAGAAAGACGATCAGTCAGCGGGAAATGAACCGTAGTGGAGATCACGTTACAATTGAATTTGATCGTTCAGAATTTATGAATAAATGAATAGTTGTTATATTAACGATTATGTCGCAGGGAGAAAGGAGAGCGTGGTGTGGGTAGTCGCGTTGTTAGGCTAAAATCCCGTTTTCACCGCGGAAAGCGGGCTAATCACCGTTTGACTCAACCAAAACCGGAGTAAAAGAGCGTGTGCAAAAAGTTCTCGCATAAATCTTGACAAATGGATCTTATCTGAAATCTTTCGTATACAGAACGAGCGAAACTTTGCGTATACGTGCTCCTTTCACGAAATCCATCACGTGTCCTTTTTCTTCTTTCTTTTTTTTTTTTTTTTTTTTTTTTTTTTTTTTTTTTTTTTTTTTTTTTTTTTTTTTTTTATTTCTCCTTGCGCGTGTAGCGCGCTCGCCATTTATGGCACTCGTTAAGGTTGAGTCAAAGAAGAGAAAGGAAAAAAAAGAAGGTGTTTTACCCGCCTGACGCGTGAACGTCGAATCACAATCTAGGAACCGCGACGCCGTATACACTCGTTTACAAACTGAACGACGTCTCTATTAAAAAAAGTAATTAATGAAATAATATATAAATATAGGTGAAAAGAAAAAAGATTCTAGCCGAATACGAATCCCTATAATATGTATATTATACAAAGTTAATTATGTTATGTTTTGTTTCATCGATTCGTACGGGAAAGTGCGCATGCAGACGCAGATATGAGTCTGGTGTCCGGATTATAGAGACGCCAGTACAGGGGTACAATGGTATATACACGACACAAATACGCACACATGCACTTACACGAAAGACAAATACATGTGCACTCGAAAAAGGTATACACCACACGAAACATTCGTGAAATGTCAAACAAACGTCCCATCACTTCACGACACGACACAACACACCACGAACACACACACACACACACGTGCATGCATACATTTCTACATAAACACATAGAGAAATATTCCATCATGAAAGACGAACGGTACAAGAGACGGTGTGCACGCGTACGTAATTACGTTACGTTTGAGTGACGGCCGAGTTCTAACACAATTGCATATTAGGTATGTATTATACGAATGCATATTAGGTATTTATATAGAATCTATATAACTGTATAATTGTAACGAAATGCCAATGTCCGTGGACCCAGGCAACTGTATCACCTGACAACGCGCGATCAATCGAATTGAAGGTGTTGCGGGCCTGCAGTCGCTTAGGTCCAGTCCCCTGGACACAGGAAGAGAAAAAAAAAGAAACACGTGACAAGAACAGGAAAAAAGTGAGGATAAAAAAAGGGTTGAAAAGAAAAAAAAAGAAGTATATATGATACGAACGGAAAAGAAAAGGCAAATGATAATATTCAAAGACGAACGACCGAGTCGGAAGGAGAATTAACGCAGTCGAGTTATTTCTCAATGGAAAAGGAAAATCTTAATACGCTTTGATTCTGCAACGCTGTGCTAATATCAACAATGATAATGAAAGAAAGATTAAAAAAAAAAAAAAAAAAAAGATGAAGATGAATATCTATCCGTTCTCTTGCGTTTCTTCGTGATCGAAACGATAAACGATTAACCGAAATAATAATCTAAATATATTTCGCACTGGTGCGGAATAAAAGAGAGTTGGTGAGCAGCGGAGCGGCATAGATGCATTAAACGCATAAAGTGCTATTTAATTAATGAGGACGCGTTCCGATTCGTGCGTTATCGGCGCGTTTACGTTTGAAGAGATGAGTAAAATTTTATTTATTTTTTAGCAATGAACCTATTATCTATTTCGATAAGATATTTCTTTGATTGCATTTCCTTCGAAATCGACAATTTCGGCTGGTCTGAATTTACTTAGCACGTAGGTTTTGATGATATAAATATGAAATATAAATCACAATAACAAATTCGAATACGCACGAGTGGGTGAATCAACGAGAAGATATATCCCGATCCTCTTCAATTTAAGGATAGGTTTGAATTAGATCGATGCCACGATCCTTTCAACTTCGTCGTAATCATCATCTTGTGATATTATTGTTATAGTGTTTTTTTTTCTTTTTTTTTTTGTGTTTTTTTTTTTTGACGCACCGAATCGATTATTCATAGAATACCGAATGGATATTAGCTTAGAAAAGGTTAGCAAGAAAAACAAATTATCCCTCGAAATGAAATTATTTTTGCACATTTGTCGTGTTCTTTTTTTTATCATCTTACCAAAATATTTTTACTTTCTTTTTACTCTTTGTCAAACTGTTTCGTTGAGTTCAAGGGGGTCGGTGAACCCGCAATCTGTGCACAAGAAGTATAATATTGTCCAAACTGAGCGTTCTGATGGAAACGGCAAAGAAAAGGCATAGAGGAAAATTGTTCAACTGGCGCAGATGGTATGACATATTGTGATCTATAAAAAAATTACAAATTACAAAGCATCAACAAGTAGTAGATATTTAAGATATAAAATATACACACACGTACACCTATGGTGACCTAGACACACACTGTCTAATTGATGTACGCGATCGCGTGTATAACACACACACATTAAAAACATTTAGAAAAAAAAAAAACAAAAAACAAAAGTAACACGTTATTAAAATGAGGACGACTACAGCGTACCTAACTAAATAAAAAAAGAAAAAAAAAGAAAAAGGGAAAAGAAAAAACAAAGAAACACAGAGAGTCAGAGAGAGCGAGAGAGAGAGAGAGAGCGAGAGCGAGAGAGAGAGAGAGAGTATAAGTAACAGAGAAAAAAAGATAACACAAAAGAAATCGTATAATTATAAATGATAAATAATAATTATTATTAAATAATAACGATAAACTTTCTATATGTTGAATCGTGACTAGTGAGAGAAGTACTCTATTGAAGTAAAGCAAAACAAAAAAAAAAAATCTACTATCGCCACACACGGATTAACACAGTTTATAATTGACCATTAGTTGTCTATCGAATGTTCTTTTTTCATATAGCGGAGAAGGTGATTGTTAGAGAATAGCTTGGTGTTTCGTTTGCTGTTTTACGAGAAAAAAAAAATAAAAAAAAACGTTGCGCGGTTGGTAATCGGCGAACCTTTTTACCAAATGTTGATGCGAGACACGAAAAAAGAGAGAGAGAGGGAGAGAGAGAGAGAGATTAAAAAAAAAAAAGAATGGAAAAGGAAAAAAGAAAAGCAAGAAAAGGGTAGCCGAAGATCCACACCTACGTTTATATTTGGTGGGGCTTTTGACCACTACTGTTATCATTATCACTGCTATTATCACGTAGGGTTTCCATACCAGAGCCGTGTTTCGCAAGCTGTTATAACGCGTAGAGAACCAATGATAATGCCCTGTTAATAACTAAATATACGATAATCAATCTCCCCGTAGGAGAGAAAGAGAGAGAGAGTGTGTATGTGTGACCTTTCATTAATTACACTACACTCGTTCGCTGCTGTAGCTCTCGTCGTCTAAAGGCGAAGGCGTTTTAGATAATTTAATCCAGCCCCCCCTCAGCCCCCCTTCGACTCTATCGCGCCGACGTTTTTCTCGCATTGTAAAGCGCTATTTTATTCTCGCGGCTTGCGACAGGAGATTGAACAACGCCACGGTATGAAAACCCTGCGCTCGCTGCGATTATTCTTATTATCATTATTATTATTACGATTATATTGTCATTATACTTATTATTACGATTATTCTCCTTATTATTACTATTATTACTATTAGTACCATTATTACCAGAGAGAAAAAAAGAAACACTATCAGTTTGTGTCCTGATCACGTGATCAGCCAGGACCCAGCCTCGAGCGGGCTGATTCTTTTTTTCATTTCGTTTCTCTTTACCTCTTATTCTTCTTCTTCTTTCTTCTTCTTATTCTTATTCTTATTCTTATTCTTCTTCTTCTTCTTCGACGTCGTCGTGTGTTTCTTTTTTTTTATATTATTTTTATTATTTTTGTTCGTTACAACTTTCAACCCCCCTCCCCCCATCGTTGATCACCGTCGAATCTTTTCTTCTCCATCACGCGTCGATCTTTTTCTAATCTCGTTTCGCCCCTTCCGAAATATTGCAGCGAAGAATCGTGTATCGTCCTTTCTTCGTGCGCGTTCTTTTTTTTACCTTTTTTTAATTTTTTTTCTTTTTTTTCATTTTCTCATCGAGATTTTTTTTTCCCCCCCGTTCGTTTGACAATCGGCCCACTCCAGGTCTGGCGTAGAACCGGTGTATAGAACGTACGCGCAAAGCAAACGCTATGCGAGAGAAATGGCAAAAGAAAAGAGAAAGAGAGAGAGAGAGGGGAAAAAATGTGGAAGAGCGAAAATGGCGCCAACTCGAGAGACTTCGATCGACGAGGTTTAGATATTCGTTTTTAGGTTCTCGCGATCCGACGAATCACCCTTCACTTTCGTTTCTATCTTTTTATTTTTCTTCTTCTTTTTTTCCCCATTCTTCTTCCACACGAGAAAAGAGAAAAAAAGAAACAAAAGGGAGAATCACCTTTTTAAGCGTGGCGTTTTCTTTTCTTCCTCTTATAGCGCGCTCTCGCGTGTGTGCATGCGTGCGTGTATGTGTTCATGTGCGTGTATACTCGAGATAATCGAAGAAGCGAGCTATCTCTTTACAAAAAGGGAAGTAAAGACGGAAAAAAAAGAATAATAATAATAATAAAAGGAACACGAGTGCCGATCGCGGGGATGATGCACCCTCGAAGCCATCGGAGACCAATTTTTATGATTCGCGGAGGAGAAGGAACGGTACGGATGCAAAATTTCCTTGCTTTCTGTATTCAGAAGTTTCTGTGTAAAACGTTACGTGTTGTTTGCACTCTTAAGAAAGATTGTATTTAACGGTGCAGGGTGCAACTGGACAGTTATACCCTTTTGCGGGCAGGATAGCTTTCGATGCAACATAGAAAAATTCGGACGATTTATTTCACTGCGACTAATTATGTAAAGCTACAAATGTTCTGTTAACCCTTTGCATTCGGATTGACATCCATTTGGACGTTACATTTCTTGAACAATCTGAGATTGAAGCCTGAGAATTAGATTTAATCTTGTATTCTTCAAACGATGCACACGATGGTATTAGCCTGAGAGGAACCCAATAGCTTCTAGGATCGCCCACTTCATTGTCGATACCGTACTACTGTTAGTTGGAGAAGTCTTGTAAAGTTGCTGGCCGACTGACACTGGAAAGTTGACAAATGCAAAGGGTTGATAAACCGTTAGCGTGCTTGCTAGAACATATACATATAAATATAATACATACATATATATTTTGTTCGAGGAAAGTCGTGCACTAAATATTCAAAGACATGATGATAATCACTGCCTGAAATATCACGGCCTTCGTCCATAAAGGGTTAATATTTTTGGCAACAAGTGCATAGCATTTTTCATTGAACACCGTTAAACTTTATTACAAGTGCAACTGTTGTGCCTTTTCATCACGTTGTATTGTATTGTTTCTCGATAAGCTTTTTGGTTAATCAACTTTGTAAATAGTTATAAGGAATAATAGTAGACTATTCTAGGTTTCATATATTTCACCTTAATGTCCATAGCACTTTAGCACTCTGCATTCGAACGATCCAAAAATGCGAGGAGTCGATAGATAACAGGACAAAACCAGCCCTCGCTTAATGGTTGATCGATCAGTGAGAGATCTCCTTGATTCGTCTGTAACGATATTCACTTTATCCCTTTCTATAAGACACACGAAATGTACAGTTCTGAACATTGATTTTCTATTCGATACAATACAAGCCCTGAAAGTTACCTGTACGAATCTAAATTACCCAGAAGGAACACGAGAAACGCTAACTTGCATCCATTCATCTTCGAGGTGCATCGTCCCCGGCATCGGTGAGATGTTACAAGAGACGTGACGCTAGAAACGTTTAACAGTTCGCAGCTCTTAAACGTTATTTATTTCGAGGATCGATATCAGCATAATATTAATTGTTATATAAAAAAAAAAAAAAACTAATCGAGTCAAGTTTTCAAAATGTTACGAGCACGAGGATGATCTGCCGTGGATATATGGTTCATACTAATTATTTCTTCGAATCAACGTTTTTTCGCCATAGTTTGTAATATTTTAATATATTAACTATTAAAAAAAAAATGAAATGAAATGAAAAATGAGAGAGGAGAAGTGAAAGAGAGTAAGTTCGCGACGGGGGGTGGGCGAAAGGTCGACTAGCACGTGACTTGCATGGTTCGAGTGGCTGGCACGCGATGGCGCTACTGTGATCACCGACCGGAAATCTTGCAAATCACGACTGGGGACGATCTTCCGCCTGTTCAAGCAAGGAACGATGCAGGAAGTGTGTTACTATAAAACAAAACGACAAAAAAAAAAAAAAATAAAAATGGAAACGAACCACTGGCGTGCACGTGTACACGTAAACATTATGATAAACGTGTACGGCCGTGAACGTGTATATTTGTTGGGGTTAATTGTATGATTAAAAAGGACGAAAAAATCTAAAAGGAAAAAAAAAACAAAAATACCGGGGGGGAGGGAGATAAAGGGAGAAAGAGAGAGAGAAAAAGCTAAAAAAAAAAAAAAAAAAACACTAATGATAAGGAAAATCAACATTCATTTTAAGCATAACAGCTGTCCGTCTATTTGACTTGTGTGTTCGACGAAAGAAGATAAAAACAAAGGAACTGAAAAAATGAAAAACAGTAAAGAAAAAAAAAAATAATAGAAACAGTACTACTACGGCTCACAACACGTTTGAAAACAAAACATTAAACGATAAAAAAAAGAAAAAAAATATTCATCGCCGCGATGTTAAATGTAACACGTTTTACAAGGTAACAGAGCATTTCATTTTATAACATTTCTACTGTCTATACTTTTACCTGGACATTTTCATCGTGGACGAAAAAGAAAACGAAGCGGCGGTCCATGTTATCCAAAAACCAACCCCCCCCCCTCCCCCTCGCTCTCCCACCTACACCTCCTTTTTCCGTCGATATAGCAAGTACGATTTGTACACGTAAATCGTGTGTCGCGACACGTTTTTGCTGCAAATGTTTCTTTCAACAAGGATACTTTACATTTGCGTGCTATTCTGTGTTTTTTATCTTTACGAAAAGAATACACTATATGTAATGATTAAAACAAAATATAGTATTTAAATTTTGCAACGAATATGCGAAACAAAAATATAAAATTTTTGTTACATAAATTTATTTATCGACATTTATCTTACTGTTTATTTACATTTCTGGCGTGCTCATTACGTCGGAAATAATTAGAACAATTACACTTGTAGATCCTTATATAACGTAATATTTCTCTCTCTAACGAATTGCACATATAATAAGTCGAGAAAAAAAGGAACGTTTATTGCAAACACGTGTCACAAAAATAAGCCGTAGTTGATTTTTTTCTTCTCTTTTTTTTTTTTTTTTTTTTTTTTTCTTTTTCTCGTTACTAAAGGTGCAATAAAAGAGAACAGTGCTTTTCGACGTTTGCCTTTGATATTCTAAAAGAGACTTATCATTTTTGAGATCTTATCGATGCTAAGAAATCGTCTTTAAACGTCCGCGCGAATTATGTTAAAAAAAAGAAAAATGACATTTTATATCTTCAAGGGATACCATGAGAAACTATATACATAATTACGTGCATAAAAGTATGTAGGAGGTAAAGATGTTGATCTTAAACGATTTTAATCGCTTCTGTTAGAAGAAAGGAGGGAGAAACTCAAATTTCAAAATCGAACTTGACGAAGATTATGATTAAATCAAAAGAGTACTATTACTTAAAATTTCGTGCTGAGTGCCTATTTTTTGATCATGTTATTTATGTACAAGGTGATTCATACTTTGGGGACGAACTATAGATATTTTGAAATAAAATATAACAAGAGAGTATACGTACAATTTAAGCAAAATTTATTTGTATTTTAAATTTTCGTTCAGAATACTTTACCTGAAGCATAATTTATTATCCATGAAAAACTTTTTTTTAGCATTTACTCCATCTCTTTCACTTTGCAGAGAACTGTAGTTGGTCCCAATTATGCGAATCACCCTACAGAATGAATAGAGTTCCCGGAAGAAATAACACGAATTATGAGAAATTATTTTCGATGTGATTGTAAATGGTCGAACTGTTCCCGCTATAAAGGTTCTATTTAAATCCAGTCTACTTTCTTCCCGGCACTCTGTCGTCATTTCTTTCTACAAACGACCCTTTTAAGGTATACCATTCACCTACGCATCAGAAGCTCCTGCATTGATATATTGGCTTCGACAGGTAACCCAGAAACCTGCTGGTGTAAAGAATAAAACGGAAAAGCGGCAGGCCGACCAACGGCAACGCGAGTCCTTGAAACGACGCAAATCCCTGCCACGCCAAGCAGAACCGTCCACCATCAATCCCGAAAAATCCATGTCCGCTCCTGCCTCTCAAGTCCCAACAATCACTGATATTTCGTTGTCTTCTGGTTCTGCTATAACCACATCAAGCACGAGCAAAAGCACGATGTCCGAAGAGAATATTTCTAGCGGTTCTACAGCATCACAGGAAATTCAAGGGATACCGCGCTTAGAAACTGTGCAAGTTTAAACCTGCGATGGCGTTCTGCACGAACACGCATGCGCTTAGTCGATGCGCATGTGCAAACCAAAGGCGCGAAAGGAACCAATAAGAGGTGGCGCGATCCAGTTCAGAACGCACAGCTGGAATGTATCGTTTAATTTGTTATTTTGTGTTTCGTACTTCGTGTATCGCGTTTCACGCGTAGTTTCGTTTCCCTATAAACACAGATTTATTCAAATCTTACGGGAATAGTTCGCTTGTTGATTATCGAAGCGTTTAAATTAATTTCATACGAACACGGGTTTCGAGTTACAGAGCGAATGGTGCGTGCGCGTTTATTCAAAAACGTTTGCTGTTCCAATGGAATCTTCTCGTGATAAATTTTGATGACTATTGTTTTTCTTCGTACAACTTTCTACGTACAAATTTTATCAAGTAATCAAGAGAACGATATCTTAAGGTAAATTTAATATAAATAAAAATGAAATTTGAATTTTCAATGTCATTTTCAAAGTATAAAGTTTAAAGTTGATTACATTTCAAACGCAAATTTAATATATCTGTTTTGTGTTATTAATATCGTATTGTAAAAAGTTGCCTAGTAATGTTAAAAATCTTAAAAAATATTAAGTTAGGGAAAGCATTTACGTACTCATTATTATATGTAGAGAAATGTAATTTTTATTACAAATTTTAATCCGTCAAAGGCAGTTCTGTAATGCACCATTCTTTCCACAACTTAAAAATGAAGGAACCCTATATAAGTGTTGTTAAGCAGAGAAAAGAAGTATTGAATAACTTGATCTGAGTTTCTGTTCTTTTTTTCTCAATTGTTTACGTCAAGATGGATCGGAATCGTTAAATACTTTGCTTGTTTTTGCATGAGACAGTAACGATAAGTTTTTGTAATAAAAATGTCTAGTTACTGGTTGGTTATGACCTGAGATTCGCGTATTGCAATAACAAAAATGCAAAATAAGAACTACCTGTTGTATGCGAATAACTACTTAAGTTAATTATTACATTCTGTTCAAAACTATTAAATTTATATTATGCAGCTAAACAGTGATTTAATAAAGATACTTTCTTTTGATACTACAACTTTCAAATTTTGATTTTCTTTTATTGTCTTACATCTTAAATACATAAATACATTTCTCATACTTTAATATATTATTGTACAAATACATCAGTTAATGTCATTCGAATTTAAAAGCTGTCCAAATGGTTGTAGCCACTGAGGATAATGTGACAATAATGTGATTACAGTATCATCGTCATTAATATAAATATTTTCCAATGTTCTTAATGTTGCATTTTTAGAATTATCTGTATGATGTGTGGGTTCTATTTGCAGTAAGATTATAAGAGATTGTAAATTTCTTGGATAAAGATCTAAAATATTTTTACCTTGGTTTTCACAGTACTCTTTAATATGTTTCAAAGTTGATTGTATAAAATTTAAAACTGTAGGAGCATGATCTAATTGCACAAATAATTCCTTTAAGAAAGCACATACTAATAGAAAAATATAGGAAGATTGACTAGTAAATTCAAATAATTGATTTATCAAATTTACACTCTTCGAATTGTCTACAATGTCATCTTTATTTAAACTGGTACACGATGACATGAAATTATTTAATAATGGTTGTTCTATTAATTTGCATTTTTGTGACTCATATATGGTTTCTATAGTTGAAAGTTCCAGATTTAAATTAGAACTTTTTTGCACAGCATGGCACAATAAGTATTCACTTTGATCACAAGTTTCTAATTCTGCAACTTTTAATAATAACTTTTCTACATGACTCTTATAGTAAGGATTTACAGATGTTAGACATATTAAAGCATTAGTTAAAACTAATAAATTATCATTTGAATCACAACTATCTAAGACATCATCGGTTAAATATTTCTCCAATAGATTTTTAAGTAATTCTGAAACGTTCTTTCCATCTCTGAATATTTCAAAATTATGAAAATCATCATTGATTCTACACCAATTTCGTATAACATCCTGAAACAACATTAAATTATAAAGTGATACACTATTTTTATACATTTTTATGTAAAAGGTACATACAATTATATGGAGTCGCACAGTATAACGTTGGTATGCCTCTTTTGATACCTTATATGATAATAATTTTGTTAAAGATGAACATAATGCATTGAATATGTCAATAGATGGTAAAAATTTATCTTCTTCTAATAAAGTTTTATATTCCTTTGAGTTTTCAAGATCTTTTGTAGCACTTGCACAACTACATAATATTGCTTTCAAGATCCTTTCATCCATATCTCTTTGATATCATCAAACAGAGAAATTAGTTTAGTAAGATCAGAAATAAGTAATAATACAAAATAAATCAAATAGTAGTACATAACCATCATATAAATAAATGTGTTTAGTAAATACAAAATTTCTAAACATACTTACTTAGGTTATATCATTAAACATTACATATAAATATTGTTGCATCTCTTTACAGACGTAATTAATTTCATTATTATAAACTGATAAATTCATTATAAATATCACAACAAATATGTTACATTTTATTCTTTCCCGAAAAAATATTCAGTCCACATTATTTAAGGGGTGTGATGAAAAACCATTACTAACACTTTCTCTTTCAAATTTAACATATAACATTTAACAGTATAAAAGTAAAAACATATTAAATTCTTAAAAGGTGTTTAAATATGTACAATATGTAAACAATAATGATAACTATTTTATATTCTATGTATTACATAAAAAATATATTTTAATATATTTAACAAAATTATTTTTTTTGTCTTGAACCGAATCGCGATGAAATATTTAAAACGATGAACCTACAACATTTTAATATTGGCAATACTTCAATTAAGTAATATAAAAAAATGATCAATGTAAAATACTTCTATGACAATTAATAAAACCTTTTAATAATATTATATAAATGTAGTAATGGAAAAAATAATTAAAAAGAATTATATGTATAATTTGGAATTGCAGTCATTGCATTATTGGTACAAAAATGCTTCGGTACGAAATCCCTCGATTAAATATGATAATATATTTAAGATTATGCAAGATATAATCAGTAATATTGATATATCTGACATAGGTGCCAATACCCAACAGTCTACAAAGTAAGATATCAAAGACTAAATGATAATATAATAATATAAAATTTATTATCTTTGTTATTTAGCTTTATTCAGAAGTCACATATTAATTTTCACCGGAAAGTAATATTAAGAAATGCTTTTGAGCATTGGAAAATCTACGTTATACATAAATTACATGGAAGAAGAGCTAAATATAAAGCTAATTACTTTCACTGCAAAAAATTACAGAAAAAAGTGTTGAATGCGTTATCAAAAAACGTATTATTAAAATGGGAAGGAATTGTTTTATCTATGAATGGCATTACTGGCAAACCTGTAGTTTCTGTAAACGATAGAAAGACAAGGATACATTGTTCTAAATTTTTTTTAAGAAAATATTTCAAATATTGGAGTCGCTATATTACTTTGAGGAAGGAGAAAAGAATATTATTAGAGAAAGCAATTGCCTTCTACAATTTACAATGTTTAAAAAAATGTATTATAAATTGGAAAACGTTCGTGATCTTGCAGAAACAGGAAAAAGTTCTACAAAACAAAATTGACGAAGTAATGTTAAATAAATTGCCAGAGACTGTATTTGAAAATAATTTTTAATTTCAGGCACGTAAATTTTATGCATTCAAAATTTTACGGACATGCGTGAAAGCTTGGATTGATGCTTGTGAATTCCCGATACAAAGAAATAAATTAGAGAGTGCTATTGTACATTATAACAATAAATTATTCATAAAATATTTCGATGCCTGGAGGATATATCATGATTACAAAATTAAAAAATTGAATATAGAGAAACGTGTTTTAATATACAGGAAAAAAAAGTTGTTAAACCAATATTTTAAGAAATTTATTCTGGTATGATTTTTATATAGTCGATTCACGTATTGTATTCATTTTTATTCTCATTAAATTTGAGTTTTTCTATAACAGGGTATAAATGAATCTATCGCGGAAAGAATAGCGAATGAAAATGCCAAATCGTTTTATAACTTTAAACTTGCACAAAAAGCGTTCTTTGCATGGAAAGAATGGTATAATAAAAAAGTACAAAATGCGGTAAAAATATGTGAGATTAAAAAGATTTTCGAATATAGAACAAAAAATATAATCTTTGTTAATTGGCGTTTATACGTAATTCGAAAGGAATGCAAAAGAAGAAATATTTTTACAGCAAAAAATTTTTATGAACAGAAATTGGCACGTGGAACTTTAAAGAAACTCCATGATTATGCTATTTATAGAAAAAAGAAGAAAATTAGGTTATCTTATTTGAACGTTAAAAGTGAGAAAATTACTCGTCAACTACAAAATATGTACATAGAAAAATGGAAAAATGCATTGTACAGTATTATACGAGAAAAACAAAAATTAAATCAAGCAACTAAGTTTTGGGATTTGAAATTAACTTATAAATATTTTTTTAATTGGAAAGAATTTTCTCGGCAGTATAAAATAAAAAAGGCTCGCAAGAAAAAACTGGATGAAATTGCTACTGGTTTTCAGATAAAAAGATTTATTTCTCATTGGCAATCCAAGTTGCAAGACGTTTTAGATGAACGTAAAAAAGAATTTGTTGTTATCTCCATAATCGAATATAAAATTGTAAAAAAACATTTTTTAATTTGGAAAGAGTATATTGTGCAAAAGAAGAAAATGAGCAACGAAATAGAGGAAGCAATGAAATTGCACAGAAAGTTTTTGCTACAAGAAGGGCTTAAAGAAATTTTAAAAAATTCTCTTTGTAATATAGATCATCAACATGATTTGCAATTAAAAAATGCGACAATGAGATCATTAAAAAGATTTGAGATTTTAAAAAAATACTTCGATATATGGCACTCTTTAATTTATTTAAAAAGAGAATTAGAATCTGTTTGCGAAGTTACAAATGATAATGTTTGTGTTGAGTTTACACAAACTCAAACTTTGAATAATAATATGTTTGATAATTTTAAAAGTCGTTTAGTTTTACCGGAATATATGATGAAAAAAGATACAAATTCAAATACCTATAATTTATTTGATAAATTTCCGCCATAAGTCTGATTATTTAATTTATTTTAGCCCTTTTAAAATATTAGTATTATAGCCTATAAATATAAGTACTCATGCTCGTTAAGAAAAAAAAAGTATACAACGTAAATAACAAATTTCTATGTCATTTATTATAGTTCTTTATGTACATTTTATTGTATCAAGATTATATAATGTTATATAATACAATTACTATAATGTATTGAAAATTACAATGAAACATGTTAGGAAACATTCATGCAGAAATATTTACGTTTAGGAACGCATAGTGAAACGTACGAATCGTAAAAATCTCTTGAAACGCTAATATAGCGATTATGATGCATCACACGCAAGGATTTGGATTACCTGGCGTGTGGTCACAAATAGAAACATAATCTGAGGAAATTAATGTACATATATTCTACGATCTTATTCTAATACTTTTATTTTTTTCGTTTTAATTTTTTTAATTCACCCTGCTGCATTGCAGCATCGCCAAAAATCTCTTTCACTTTGCGTTTACGTTCCTTATCGCTCTTAATTTGTTCTTTTATTTGTAATTTTGCTATAAACGCTCTATCCCTTCGAATTTCACGGATAGCACCTTTCATTTCTTTCTTGTATTTATGCAATAATTTTCCTCTTTCAGCTTTGTCTTTAGACATGCTCTTGTGTTTCTTTGCGTCATATCTGTAAATAATTTATACAAAATTTTGTAATCTCATAAATTTTTAAAATAATATTATTTAAAATTTTTACATACACTGTTTCGATTCGCGGTTCATATAATCTCAATGGTTTTGGTTTTTTCTTTTCAATCATGATATATTCCAGTTTTTTATTCTTCAACTCTTTCAAATCTCTCCGTAATTGCTTAATATATTTCTTCACATTTAACGGATATTTATCGAAGGAATTTACCTTGAGTAATTTTAGAATCGGTTCAAATATCGAATACACAGCTTCTAGTTCTTCGAGATGATTTTTAAATTCACGTAATAAATTTATAGCTGTTAATAAAGCCCTTATCTTGAAATCATCATCTAATGGCCCATTTATTAAATCGGATACTGTCATAAACACGCTATTTGGATCAATATCTAAATTAATCTGATTATCGTCAAGCATTAATAAATTACTCGATTCTCCAGTTATTTTAAAAGGTGGAATCATTTTTATCCCTTGAATTAAGTGCTTGGGCGTGGATATGTAAATTATTCCACGTAAAAAATTTATTACAGATGGTGCAAATCGTTTGTTTAGTACTGTATACTATAAGTGAAATATTATTAATGTATTATACTGTAATTTTGTATATTCTATTTGATTATAAAAATATAATAACGACAATAATAGTTTTACCTCTAATATAAGAATACATATGAAGAGACCTTTTGATATATCAGTCTTATTTTTAATACGACACCTAAATAGTATTTGAGACATAAATATTAAACAGGGAGTAGTAATAGGGTGTCTGAAATCAGACGTTGGGAATATTAAAGAAACCAATTTAAAGAAAATGAGCTGAAAAAAAAAATGTTTATTAATTGATAACATGTAAGATGTGTTTTAAAAATAATTATGTGTTAAACATACTGTATCTAGGCCAGGATATTTCTTTTTATTTTTTTTAAACTCTTCATATTTTTCCTTAATTATTGCTTGTATAACAGCTTTGGCATTTATTGGATTTAAATGTGCAAGATCATATAAGGAAGGAGATAATCTAAAAAAGTACTTATATAATTTTAATTCAATATAGATTATAATAGAATTAATTAAATTTGATTAAACATGTATTACCTATCAATAATTTGGAAACATTTAATCACATTTTCAACATTATCTTCTGTAGCATTATCATTTAAATGTTGCAACAAAAACAGAAATAAATTTGATAACTTTTCTTTATTTGTATTACTCAGTGACCAATGATTGCACTTAATTATACGATCTATGATAACTGATTGGTAATCGGCACTATAATTTTGTAAAAATTCTTGTAATTCTTCAAAACTTTCTGGTACTTTATAAGTGTAAGGTAATTCTTTCCTTGCACTTTCCATTATCTCTTTCCTCTTTAAAAGATCATCTCTAATTTCTTGTTTTCTAGTTTTAGTACTCAATTTCATATCTAAACTATTTTTTAAGTTTTCTTGTGAGTCAATTATATCATTTTTATCTAACTCATTTTCTTCTTCGCTAGAGGAGTCTGTTTCTTTTAAATCTGATAAATTATCTTCTTCAGAACTTTCAAGTTCTGAGATTTCTTCAGTAGAATTTTCATCTAATTTATTCCCATTGGAATTTTCTGCTTTCTTTTGTTTCTTAATATTACCATTTAATTTATTACTAATAACTAATTGTTCATTTTCATGAGTATTGACAGCTGTTTTATCTTTATAATCACCAGTATCATTATTATCAGCATCATCATCATCATCACCATCTATATCACTAGTGTTTTCATTGCTTGAAACATCTTGTGTATCTTTAATTGAATTTTCTTTGTCAACCTGTACTTCATCATTTATAGTTTCTAGTGCAAAACCATCATCAAGATCATCTGCGGATTTATGTTTAATTTCGTTATTATGCAAATGATTTACAAGTCCTTTCATTCTTGCCACTCGATCTGCTTCTAGAGCTTCTAATCTTTCTTTTTCCTCTTTTACAATTTCTTCTTCAGATTTTAATTTATCTGATGGTATACCCTTAGCTTCAAATTTCAACTCACGTACAGCAATGTCATAATCATCAGCTTTTATCTTTACAATTGTTTCATCAGTATCTTTATTAGCTGCAGAGACTATAGGAAGAAGGTCCCTCCATTCAGAATCAAGTTTTTCTGTTAAATCTATGGTTTGTTCACGTATCTTTTGTTTTTCAGCTTTACGTTTTTTTGATTCAATTATAAGTTCTTCTATAAGATCTTTCCTAGATTTTCCAGATTCTGATTTTGATAAAACACCACCACCAAAGTGAGCTTCACCAACAAATTTGTTATCTAATTTACCAGTTATATTTTCATCATCACTATATTCATCATCACTTTTTGGATCATCAAACTTTTCAATTTCTTCTAATGTTTGACCTTTGTGTGTTAATATTTCTTCATCGTTTAAATTATAAATATTTTTTTTTTTATAAGCTTTCATACGCTCTGCAGCAAATCTAGCTAAAGCTTTATCTTCTTCATTCATGATTACATTCTTTTCACCTATACGCTTATCAAAAAACAAATTATCCTTATTTTTTAATTTATATTCTTGAAGAAGTGTTTCTTTTCGTTTTTTTATTGCTTTTGCACGTGATACACCTGGAAGCCCTCTGTCAGCTTTACTTTTTTTACCCAACACATTTTGTTTATCTCTGTTTATGTGCACTTCAAATGGATTTAAGGATTTTTTATTTTGTTGAATACGCTTTTGTTGAGAAATTTCTGATAATAATTTTTTTTTTGCTTTAGCCATTTTGATTTTCAATTTTTATAATATTCCTGAAAATGTTTTAATACATCGATTTTACATTTGATATTAAAAAATTCAGTTTATATTACAATAATCACTTAATGATAATTAATATTATAATGAAATACCTATAAACTATAATTATTAATTAATGATTTTCAAATGAAATATATTTTTTTAAACATAATAATTATTTATATTTATAATTATACTCGGTTACCTTTACCATCAGTAACTTAAATTGGTTTATTTTAAAGATAATCTATAACATAACCTCTTCTTGAAAATAGAATGCATTAAATTGTTCTATTCGTAAGTAGATTTTAAAAAATCTTAGTACGTTGTTTTTAATTTCTTCAATTATAATTACATGTATTTAGCAAAAACAATGTTGGAAAATTACAATGCCGATAAATTTCTATCTTTGAAATGTGGTACAACTACACACGTGTAATCTATTTTGTTGATATTACTACTATCAAACTCTATGTTCAAAAAGTTGTCAAAAGTTTTCTAACTTGTATTAAAAAACTGTAAATTAACTTCTTAAATTTAAGTTTACTTAAATTCAATTAAATTACTTTATACATCACGATATTATCATAAAAATCATCTTCTAAATAATTTAGTGGCAAAAAAGAAAATAGATATGTACACCTTCAATATCTTCTTTATACATGTGTTGGTCATTTAAATTTAAACATAGTTCTTTACTATAATTTCAATATAGATTATAATAGAATTAATTAAATTTGATTAAACATGTATTACCTATCAATAATTTGGAAACATTTAATCACATTTTCAACATTATCTTCTGTAGCATTATCATTTAAATGTTGCAACAAAAACAGAAATAAATTTGATAACTTTTCTTTATTTGTATTACTCAGTGACCAATGATTGCACTTAATTATACGATCTATGATAACTGATTGGTAATCGGCACTATAATTTTGTAAAAATTCTTGTAATTCTTCAAAACTTTCTGGTACTTTATAAGTGTAAGGTAATTCTTTCCTTGCACTTTCCATTATCTCTTTCCTCTTTAAAAGATCATCTCTAATTTCTTGTTTTCTAGTTTTAGTACTCAATTTCATATCTAAACTATTTTTTAAGTTTTCTTGTGAGTCAATTATATCATTTTTATCTAACTCATTTTCTTCTTCGCTAGAGGAGTCTGTTTCTTTTAAATCTGATAAATTATCTTCTTCAGAACTTTCAAGTTCTGAGATTTCTTCAGTAGAATTTTCATCTAATTTATTCCCATTGGAATTTTCTGCTTTCTTTTGTTTCTTAATATTACCATTTAATTTATTACTAATAACTAATTGTTCATTTTCATGAGTATTGACAGCTGTTTTATCTTTATAATCACCAGTATCATTATTATCAGCATCATCATCATCATCACCATCTATATCACTAGTGTTTTCATTGCTTGAAACATCTTGTGTATCTTTAATTGAATTTTCTTTGTCAACCTGTACTTCATCATTTATAGTTTCTAGTGCAAAACCATCATCAAGATCATCTGCGGATTTATGTTTAATTTCGTTATTATGCAAATGATTTACAAGTCCTTTCATTCTTGCCACTCGATCTGCTTCTAGAGCTTCTAATCTTTCTTTTTCCTCTTTTACAATTTCTTCTTCAGATTTTAATTTATCTGATGGTATACCCTTAGCTTCAAATTTCAACTCACGTACAGCAATGTCATAATCATCAGCTTTTATCTTTACAATTGTTTCATCAGTATCTTTATTAGCTGCAGAGACTATAGGAAGAAGGTCCCTCCATTCAGAATCAAGTTTTTCTGTTAAATCTATGGTTTGTTCACGTATCTTTTGTTTTTCAGCTTTACGTTTTTTTGATTCAATTATAAGTTCTTCTATAAGATCTTTCCTAGATTTTCCAGATTCTGATTTTGATAAAACACCACCACCAAAGTGAGCTTCACCAACAAATTTGTTATCTAATTTACCAGTTATATTTTCATCATCACTATATTCATCATCACTTTTTGGATCATCAAACTTTTCAATTTCTTCTAATGTTTGACCTTTGTGTGTTAATATTTCTTCATCGTTTAAATTATAAATATTTTTTTTTTTATAAGCTTTCATACGCTCTGCAGCAAATCTAGCTAAAGCTTTATCTTCTTCATTCATGATTACATTCTTTTCACCTATACGCTTATCAAAAAACAAATTATCCTTATTTTTTAATTTATATTCTTGAAGAAGTGTTTCTTTTCGTTTTTTTATTGCTTTTGCACGTGATACACCTGGAAGCCCTCTGTCAGCTTTACTTTTTTTACCCAACACATTTTGTTTATCTCTGTTTATGTGCACTTCAAATGGATTTAAGGATTTTTTATTTTGTTGAATACGCTTTTGTTGAGAAATTTCTGATAATAATTTTTTTTTTGCTTTAGCCATTTTGATTTTCAATTTTTATAATATTCCTGAAAATGTTTTAATACATCGATTTTACATTTGATATTAAAAAATTCAGTTTATATTACAATAATCACTTAATGATAATTAATATTATAATGAAATACCTATAAACTATAATTATTAATTAATGATTTTCAAATGAAATATATTTTTTTAAACATAATAATTATTTATATTTATAATTATACTCGGTTACCTTTACCATCAGTAACTTAAATTGGTTTATTTTAAAGATAATCTATAACATAACCTCTTCTTGAAAATAGAATGCATTAAATTGTTCTATTCGTAAGTAGATTTTAAAAAATCTTAGTACGTTGTTTTTAATTTCTTCAATTATAATTACATGTATTTAGCAAAAACAATGTTGGAAAATTACAATGCCGATAAATTTCTATCTTTGAAATGTGGTACAACTACACACGTGTAATCTATTTTGTTGATATTACTACTATCAAACTCTATGTTCAAAAAGTTGTCAAAAGTTTTCTAACTTGTATTAAAAAACTGTAAATTAACTTCTTAAATTTAAGTTTACTTAAATTCAATTAAATTACTTTATACATCACGATATTATCATAAAAATCATCTTCTAAATAATTTAGTGGCAAAAAAGAAAATAGATATGTACACCTTCAATATCTTCTTTATACATGTGTTGGTCATTTAAATTTAAACATAGTTCTTTACTATAATTTATTTATTATACGATAGTTTAAACTCTTAGATTTTTATTTTTAATAAATAAATAAAATAAGTTTATTATAATTTTAATATGTTTATATACACTTGTATGTAAATATATATATATATTTTTTTATACTTAACTTTTTTTTATAGTAGTTTTTGTTAGTTTCATTAATTTTGTATTTTAATTACAATTTTCCATAATTTGTAAAACTTTAATATTTTTTCGATATAAATATTATGAAATTCTAAATATTACATCATTATTAATAAAAGTACATAGTGGGATTTATCAATTATAATGTTATAGTTTTATAATTTCATTTTATATCGTATGTTTTCATTGTTTAAGCAATACAATTTAAGAGATTTTTAGTTAATTAAAATCTTTTGAGTTAAGGGTAAAAGAAGTGCTGTTTACTAGATAGTGAACATAGTTTGTGTTAGTTAATTCTGACATAACCTAAATCGAACGTGTAATGAAAGTATAATCAGTGATTTAAATAAATTATTAGAAAACAATATAAATTTAATCATTTTAACAAATTTAAAACATTTGCAAAAATGATACCAAGTTATAGAAGTACAATTTGTACTATTGGAAGTTATATGCAGGTAATTTCGAACTCCATTATTAAATTTATATTAGTTTTACTAAACGTTTTAATTATAAAACAAATTTTAATGGTTTTCAGAGTAATCTACCTTTAACATTAGGTCCTATTAATTACATTATTTTTAATAACTCTTTTCAACAAGTTAGATATATAAAAAAACATTGGAATCCAAAGTTTCGTAAAGAAAGAGCACGAAAAGTTATGAAAATAAAATTACCTGACTTCGAAGAAACAAAAACTGATGATGATATAGAATCTGATAAAATAAGAACTCGTATGAAGGAATGGGGAATTTTACCTCAAAGAAATTGGAATGAAAGACCCGTTCTTATTTGTAGTACACCACAAATATTTCAAAGTTATGTGGTTCCAGAAGGTGATGGAAAATTTTCTGCTATTACTAGTAAGGTAGATAATATATTTATGGTTGTTGTATATTGTATCTTCTAAGTATTGAACTAAAGAAATATTTAAAAATTTTATATGTAATATTTAGGGTGCAAAACAAAGAATTGAAATACTTACGAAAAAGAGTAAATCTTATCTTGCTCTTAGAAAAATAAAGTCATATGAAGAAAACTACACAAATGAGTTATTTATAGACCATTTTACGAATATTTATAAAGCAGCACATGAAGCTTTATGCAAGTGAGTAATGCTTATTGAAATTTATTTGGAATGTATTATTTTAAAACTGATTTTAAGTTCATATAGCAATATTTATATAATAATCAGTTTATAATTTAATTTTAAATACTTTTTGTATTTATCCATAAATTATAAATTTATTATATTCTTAGACAAAATAAAGATGAGATGCTTCAGTATGTTACAGAAAATGCATATCCTGTAAGTTTCATTGATATTAATTTTTATATTCAATGCTTCTTTTTATAGTGGTATAAGTATATTTACGAATATTATATAATTTTAGATGATGATACATAATATGGAAAACAAAACAATTGTATGGAAATTTTTGGAATCCTTGGAACCAGCACGTATTGTACATGCAAGAGTTGCAAGTGTTTTAGTAAAACATAATGAATTTGCACAAGTTACTGTTCGTTTTCATACTCAACAGGTTTGACAATAAATCTCTTAATATTCTTTACATGTGATATGTCTATGATGGTTAGATTATTACATAAAAATTAATTTTTTAGCTTTTATGCATTTATGATCGATTTGGGCGAGTATTATTAGGTAGTGAGACAGTAAAGAAGGATGTTTTAGATTATATAGTATTCGAGAAACACTTAACTAATGTATATGGTATTTGGAGAATACATGGAAAGATTATACCAGACTGGATGAAATTGGAAGAAATACCATCAAAAACTTATATTTTACCAAAGGAGAAGAAAAAGCTCTCACCTTCTGATGACTCTGCTGAATCGATTGTACAAGTAGTACCTCCAGAGACATTAGAAAAAGAATATACTGATAAAAAAGTATAGTTATCTCACATACAAATCTTTATGTACAAATATTTTATTTATTTTTACAGTAAAATATCAAGTTTTCAAATAAAAGAATTATGAAAGATATTAATAATCCACCACTGAATATTAGTAATATTAAATATACTTGTTCTAGCATAATTGGTTCCGTTTTATTTAATACCTCTTCTTCCACATTTTTTGATTCTATCCAACGATATTTTAATAAATCCATAAAACCAACTTCATATAATTTCAGTATCCTATATAGCAAATTATTGTATTTTTTAGTTAATTATTTAAGTTTGCATTGTAGAGAAACGTTATGTGTATATAAAATTGAATTATTTACCCGACATCAATAGATCGTTTGTGTTTAAAATTCCACGAAATTCCGGAAACGATCCATGCAGTGAACATAGATTTTCCTGCGGGATTTAATCGACAGAAGTATATTCCTCTAGCCTTTTTCATATCTGCACTTTGAAATATTGCCCACAATTTTCCCGTTAGACATGTTGTCTTATACATTTCTTCCTCTGTATTTACGATAGTATGTCGTCTTAGTTGAGTTGTTTTGTTGTATTCAGGTGATACTCCTGCCTGTAATCGATTAATATATAATTTATTATTTTTAAATAGTTACATATATGTAATCAACATTTTTATATTATATCTGTATATTATGATCATTTGTTGTATGGAAACGTGATTTACAAAATATTTATGGTTTTTTATAATATATCCTTTTGAAAGGTTTTCAAAAGTCTTTATATGTAAGATATTTCTCTTTTATTTGTATAATTTTCTATAGCAGTACATTTTTACTAAATTTAAATGAGAAAAAAATATGTTTCTTACCTGAAGTAGAAGAGTAGGTAGGGAACCATTTATAGTGAGAATATTGTATGAAGTAGTATCCAAAAGGGAATTCAAATCTTCAAAAGGAGGTGTTTCTGTAGTTTGAGTCATGTAGCCTATTAGAAGGGCCCCAAAAGCAGTTCTAATTAAGCAAGAAAATAGACCCAACCACAACTCCACTATTCTGGAGCTTTTGGATGAACAACTTGGAAAGTAGCCTGTAAAATTGATTGTTTTTATACATTATACAGATTAATTACTTGATAATAAATACTGAAATTTTACATAGTAGTAAGTGAAGAATGCATGTAAGGTTGTATTAGATTATAATATCAACAAAGAGTAACTAAATTTTTAGTTACAGATTTATAATTACAGAAAGTGTAAACTTTAAATAGATAAAGTTTAAATTTGATCAGTATCTCAATCTGTTTACTACAACATTTTACTAATATATTTATTCTTACCTTGTCCACAGATCATGCCAAAGTTATAGAAGAAATGATCATTCAAATTCGTCTTGGAGTATTTATTCGTGACTTTCGACTCGCCTGCTTGGGAAAGATAGCTGCAGAAGCTTAGCATGAAGTACATCAGCAGAATCATGAACCAAACTTTCCGAGAGAATAATTTCAGCATCCAAGTAGGTACATATTTCACTTCTCGTCGAATATATAATCGATACCTGCATGTAATTTATTATATTGTAATTATTAATAACTGCATGAAGTAAAATTTTTTTTTATTTACAATTAATATATCATTTTTTATGAAATTTGAAAAAGAAATCTGATTACAATTTTTGTAGCATTTTCTTTTCTTTCTTTCTTTAATAAAATAATTACATTTTTATAGTTTGTGTAGTTATAGTAATACTAATGAGTGAATATGAGTAAAAGAAGAATTTACACTTGCATTATTTCTTTTTAATATTTCATATTGGATCGTGAAAATATTTTAGTTTCTTTTTCCCATGTTTTTAAATAATTATTATTCTTTCATAATTCAAACTTGCTTGGTTTTCCATAATGGGATTGTGAACTGAATAATATTGCTTCGTTTAATATGAGCCTCTACCCTTGCTATTACATCCGTTTCGTTCCTTTCGATATGGCTTAATAAACCAATGGAAAATTTGCCTTTGCTATCTGCAATTCCTACAGTTTGCTCTTTCGTGAGAATCGGTTTCAATCTGAAACGTTTAATATTCACAAAAACCTGCGAACTAGTCGTTTTAATATCCAAAAATTTGCTATACAATTTTCCATTACGTGAAATTTAAATATTCCGATAAAATATTCCATATCTCGCCTATAACTCCGGTCACTTCTGTTCCATTGGCTCTGCTGTTGATAATGTTTGTTTCCTGAGAAAACATTATAAAATATAAATCATACTCATATCATCATAACTCAGACAGTTGTTCATCCTTTAAAATAATATACTCGAAATAATCTACTTAGCCTTTATTTACCATTAACAGTAATGAACCATCGTTCAGCGAAGCTTTTAGTCATATTTAAGCATTTCGATGTTGCAAAGCAACGATAGGTAATAGATAAAAATAATAAAATTTAATAAAATTGATAAAAATTAGTAAAGAAATGAAAATTCAACAAAACTTCAAGGAGAAAGAGAAATGTTCAGTTAAGAAAAAAAAAAAGAAAGAAAGGAAGGGAGGAACATCGAACAAAAATTAATTAAAGAAATTTATTAAAAGATTTTGATAAAATATATTAAAATTTATTAAATATATATTAAATATATATTAAATTTATTAAAATCTGTTTAAAAAGTTAAAGAAATATTGGACACTATAATCACTCCTTTAGAATAGCAAAATCTTTGTCTTCACCTCGTAATAGGAAAACTTAACAATTCTTCCTTGAAAGTTGTACAATTCCAGTTCGCGACTTCGGTTCATCAATTCGTGGTTCACGGCTGCAAAGGCAGGGACGCTGAAAATTGGCACGAAATCCTCGAGTTCCTTGTCCCATATTACACCGTTCACTGATTGAACAGGTCTCAGGAATTCGTGGATCGTTACGAGCAACAGCAGATTTCTCATAAAGAAAATGTTCCTCTGATCACTATACTCGAAGAATGACGATGTTAGAGTCTTTCACTGCTATGACTGTTCTAACCATAGTTGGAACAACTTCGTAATAGTGATGCTGGCTGATATTATAGCGATATCTTGCGTTTTAATGCGACACGATTACCATCTAATCGATCAAACATCTATTTCTTGCTTTCTGCTCATAAAATTGGTGTTGTTGTATAGTAACATTTCACAGAGTTACTTTACATATTGTAGAAGCATCTTTTGGTATATCTAGTTTGTTTCTAGAGGGTAGTTCAATTTTCAATGGTAAAATAGAGAGGATCGATGAATGGATAACTTGCACCGTCATTTTGGAAGTTCGCAAATAAGTATGATCGTTTAATCAGTGATCATTGATTTATTATATACTCTACAATTTGATACATGGTATATATTCTCGTTCTACTATAATTCGTGGTAAATTATAGCAAAATAATTTTATAATATTAATATTTACAAAAATCTAATTTTTCTTAAAATAAATATAATTAAAAATTCTCGGATTTTAGATATAATTAAAAACAATAGTATAAAAGAAAGTACTATCATTTCGAATTTCCAAGTTGTAATAACACCAAGTGTTACTCGAATTTTTAATTAAAATAACTAATTTCATTCGAATAAAAGTGGAAATGGCACCTTTTGGCTTTTAAATTTAATTTAATTAAATTCCCGATGAAAGAAATGATAGTTTTTCTTTTTATATTTACAATAATGATAATAATATTTATTATTTCATTTATCATTCGCTGTTACGAAGCTTACAATCGATCTAAGCAATCTTTCCAGTAATTCACGTAATTACGCGTTATTTTATATAAAACCAGCATCAAACGCAGCGATTAAAATTAATCGCGTGTCATTTATGAAATCGCTGTATTAACGGAAACGTTTTAAGAAACAACGCCAATGAAACGTAACGCGTGTTACCTTTTTCTCATTTTATCTGTGACTTTTAAAATGGCATCGCGACTCGCGATCTAGCGCTTCCGTAACACGTCGATGCTAAACGCCGATAAATCATCGCAACACGGAAACGCTCCCAGGATTTAGGTCACGATGGAAATGCATTTAGCGACATAGATCAATTTTACAACATTTGATTCATCGCCGCGTCGATGGAAAACCGGCATGGTGAAATGAGACTTCGTCGAATTTCACATGATCGATATCGCTTCCAGTGGAACTCGGATATTCAAGGATTTATATTTTCTCGTATAAATAACGACATCGAGGGATTTCTGTCTTTCCACGTGGAAAAATAGGAAAATAATTCCATTCGAGAAATGAATTCGAGAACTATAGGACTATCATACGATGCATTCTTCCATCACGTGATTTAGAGAAACTAAAGGGAAACTTAATCATCTTAGCGTTACTCCCACTATTATTGAGTGTAACAGAAGTAGACTGTTAGGTGAAAGTATCCCGAGATTATCAATGTCCGTAATTATAATTATCTACGCTTCTGAATAGCTATAATTGGTCATCGAAGTTAAAAAATAATTTTAGTCTAATTTTAGATATTACAGATTTGAGAAGAAGTTAAAATTTGCTGGACAGTGTTACTATTATTTATGTGTACCACATCTAGGTGCATACTACAAGCTAAAAATCAGACACTGAATTGTGCAGTTACGTCACTTATATCTACTATTTATCAGGAAAACTTTTGTAATTCGGAAAAGATGAATATAGATCAGATTCTAACGTGGATGGTAATTATTTACGAGTTTCTTACGAAAAATATGATATTCTCTAGGATAAGTATTACGAGAGAGAGGAGAGTACCAACGACGAGTATAATGAAAATTAGGTAAACTTGATTCAAGTCGATTCTCGTGAAAGGCCTGCGTGTTCCTTCGTCCGGGTAATTCAGCCAGCGTTCTTTTAAAGCCTCAATCAGGCCAACTTCGTGTAACTTTATGATTCTAAATCATATAATTTAATTAGGGACAATATTTAAAAACAATCACTATTAATAATAAGAAATAATAAAGCAATTGTTATAACGTGAGGGTAAGATTAATGAGTTTTGTATGAAAAGGTACATCAGCGTATTTTAAATTTCGCGGTTTCAAATTCCGGAATTGAAAAATCGTAAAAATTTATTAAGAAATATTTACGACATGTCGATGGCGTATTTGTATGGGAAATTTTTCGGTACACCGAATCCAACCCATGTCTCGAAGTAACTTTCTCCCATTGGTATGATCACGCAAAACTCTCTGCTTCTCGAGAAAGCTTTGTCTTGGCTTTCTAACATGGCGTACAATTCCTTGCCATAACAAACTTCCTTGTACATTGAATTTGCGTTGTTCACGAAGTGAATGCGTTCCGATATTTCGTGAACGTTAAACTCTGTCAATTGATTGTGACTGGTGTTCTGAAAATTAATTTTGAATAATTATTCCAAAATTTTACTTTTATGTACATTCATATAAAGCCAGGAATACTTTAAATCTCATTTGATATTCTCGATGTAATAATAGTATAATAATGTAATTTATACAGTATCGCGAAGTATTTAATAAATTTCAAATTTCCCTCGCAAATTTGTCGATACCTTTACGAATTCATAAATCACGGATCCTTTGAAGACTAGAACGTCATACTTTGTTTTATTTAACAATGTGTCGAAACTTGTAAACGGTGGTATCACAGTCCGATGCGCCATTCGGTAAATGAGATTAACGCCGAAAGTTAGCAGGATCAGCCATGCGAATATACTTTTCGAAATCGACAATGCCTTATTCTGATTGTGAAAAGCCAGTGGAAGATACCCTGAAATCATCGAAACATATTTTACTTAAGATTCTTCCATATTTCGGTATAATTTATTTAATTAAATACAAATCTTCCTTGGAAAATTTTATTTGAATATATTTTTGTTTCTCTACGATACAGCTAATTGTATTAATTGTATTATTATAATTCGTATAGCATATAAATATAGTTTATTTATATTAACATAGATAATATATTTGATTAATGTTTTATTAGAATAATTTTAAAATAGACAAATACCTTGACAGCACATTATAGAGTAACTGTAAAATATATGATCTTTGAAACTGAAGAATCTCCTTGTTGATCTTTCCTTTTTTTCGTAATTTCTGAATTGCGCAATTTGGAGAATGTAACCAGCGACACTGAGTACCAGGAATAAAATTATTATAACGTACCAAGTTTTAGGTGCAAACATAGTGATCATCCACCTATTGTCATATCCATATTTTGGTTTGATGAATAGCTGATATCTGTTTCAATATAAATATAAAAAAAAAATTTATTTTATATAGAATTTTTCATTCAAATTTTCATTTACGAAAAATTTTGAAACACGTTTATTGAAATTAAAAAAACATTTCAACGTTCGAAGATTATCGCTTGAAAAATTTAGTAAAAATTCATAGTAAAAGATATTCCTTACTTGATGTTCCAAATGGGCATCGTATAATCGAATAGATTCGCGCGGAAAGGATAATATCCCGTGCGTAAAATAACCTGCGTTTCATTTCGTTCGAGTAACCCCATCACGCCGTTATAACTTCCGTTTTCCAAACGTTCGCCGAAATTACGTTCCCGGAAATGTATTGGCATCAATCTGTCTGACATCGGTAGTTATATTTCTTGTATTCATTTTAATTTAAATTAATTATACGATCATTTAATTCTCCGTTATAAAATTAACCGCTTCACCCTACGATATCGTGCGAGACTCTTAAGAAAATCGCGCGAAACACAAGTGTCGAAGGTAAGAGGCGTGGTTTGTAGATGGAGTTCAACGTAAACATTACGGATCAGGCTTGTGGTTAATTTTCGTCGATGTCCTTCTGTTTCAGTTGCGTGTTATTCTTCGACACGTTAGGACGAGATGGCTCGGCGCGCGACAGATTCTGCTACCGATTGTGCCACGCCCCATCGGAACTTCGACAGTTTTCGAACGAGAGTTTGGTTAGTAATATTTATTTTACATTCTTACAATTAGCTAGTGTTTTAAGAAAAATGTAGGGGTGACGGGGTAGAGTAGTCCGTGGACCAATAGTAGAGGAATTAGTTCGAAGGTTTTCGTTGGACATAGAGGAGATACCTACGCGTTTGTTTTGTCAAGGAAACTAGTAATTTACGTAGTTAGAAAAATAGTAATTTAGACGTGCTTCCGTTTCATATTATTCTTCATCGGAACCTAAATTGTAAGGCAAGAGGTTAAATTTAAAACGAAATAGTTGAGTCAAAAAATTATTCTTTTCTTATTGAGTATATGTTTGTTTTATAATAAGAGTGCAAGATTCTTGCAGAATAGTTAAGCAATAAATTATTTATTAAATTTTTTACATATCCATATGTGAAACTTATTTGCAAATTTTCACAAGGAACACAAATAAATTTCTTGTCTCACCTATTTGATAGTGTAGATTACTATCTTAACCATCGGTTGGTAAAATGTTAAAGAACAAAAATGTTATGTCAATTGTAAATGTAAAATGTTAATTCTAAATTAAATGAAATATTTCGTCCTGGAAATCTATTTTTTTCCCAGCAAATGTATATCAACTGATGGTACAGAAGTATTAATTTTAGGTTTAAAACTCTACTAGGTAATATAAATTTACTCCAAAAAAGAAAGAAAAGGATAGATTTTCCAAAGGTAAAGATCAGCCCTGAATTCAGATTGCCTTCTCCGAGTCTGCCCATTTTATTCAGTCACGAATGAAGTATTCTTCAAGCATAACGACCGGTGATAAAACACCTAGGTATTCTTCCGTAATTTGAATAACTTCGAGAACGTACGTGAAGTTGAGATGATACGCGAGTAGGTTCCATATGTCGCCGCAGATCCCGGTTACCTTCGTGTCGTTCTCGTAAAACATAACTAAATCCGGTTCCTAGAAGGATAACGATGAAGTATTTTTTGAGCTTCACGGAATTGCTCGAATATACGGACAATTCATATGCTTATGAGGGATCTAGTTAAACCTCGTAGTAAGAAGCTCGCAAAACTTTTCCACTGATATCTTTCGCATGTAAATCTAGTCTCATAGAGGGCGTTTGTCCTTGAAAATTTGCGAATCCCGTAATGTTGTACAGTTCAACGAAATTCTGTCGACTTTTATCCCAGATCATGTTCCTTCCCATCTGGCACTTTATACGTGAAGAGCAAAAAAGTATTGTAATAAGAATCACGAGCATGACTGTCCTGTTTACTTTGTTTTACTTTTCGTTCAGTTCTGCTACGATACTAGGTGAATACATTAACAGTTGGTGTGTCGACATGCGAGCTGTATTTTTTAAAATTATGGTCTTTTTCCAAAGATGGCATGTGTGAAAGGTTTACCTTCGAAAATGACTCTTTTACTAGTATCGATTGATTTTTAGAGAGATTTTTATCTTTGAGATTTCAGGTCGAACATAGGCAGAAAATTGTAGTTCTCTGTGATTGTGAACAATTTTAACCGAACCATTTTGGAAAATTGCTTTAAATGTTTAGTAAACGTCGATAATTAATTTAATTATTGACAGACAAAAATTATAAATTTTTGTATAATAAATAATTTAGATTATTTATATGACTATTTTTTTTTAAGTGTAAAAGTTTATTTAAATCAGGAAGAGGAAGTCAGTAAACACAAAGTATTACGTGTTTTAACATTTATTCAGGGAACATGTTGCTGCGGATCGAAAATAGATCGAATTGGATTGAGGTGTGACAAGGGAGAAATGAAGTGACATCGCTTTCATACAAAAAACATGGATCGTATATGTATATCATATTTGATCGTGTTTGTGTATATATATATGTACTATATATATATAAAGATCTTACATTTATGATCCTTCGTCAAAATAGTTGACATAAATTAACTTAAGTCTACCCGATAACGAGCCCTCGATGCGGTCATCAGGATTACCTTATATTTAAAAATAATAATAATATAAACAATGGAGGTGGCCCACGTAAAAAACCACCAGCCAGAGCGTCGGTGAGCATTGGGGGAACCCCTGAGCGAGAACAGCATGAGAAAGATTCTGCAATAGTAGGTTGGTAAATGCGATGGCTGAAGCCACTACTGATAAGCATACTACGACACGGGAGACGTCCTGCGTCACGACGAAACGTTCTCATTCTTAGAGCTAATAACAGGCAGGGATTCACAGTCACTGTGTGCAAGGTGATGATTATAAAACCTTTGGAACAGGTTAGCTTAGGTCCCGATAATATAGGTTATGTGGGTCTGAGGAAATATGTCGTACACATCATTTTTACTTTACATAGGGATCTAAATCATACTCACGAATGACATATAATTACATATAAATCCTCATTGGCGCTGCATGGTGTAAAAAAGAAAATGGTTCGATAGGGTGTTGCTCTGTATAACACGCAAATTGTATGTGTAGTCCGAGAATCTGACTAAATTATGCGTGGTATACCATGGCGAATTTTGCCATCATACCAGTGACAGTGGCGATTCCTACTCCATATGGCAAAGATGCTATGTCTATAATTTTACCCATATCTATAGCACTAGCATTGCTTCTAACAGTGAAGTACACATTACCTTAAATCAGCAAGACTTCTCAAAACGTGTGAACTGTACGGTTCCGCTCGCAATCTTTGTATAAGTTGGAGTGAATAAAGATGTTGATTCCGGAATTCTCAATTATGAAGATATGGATATGCAACATCTTTATGGCGAATAACTTTTTAGTTTTCTATATAGCATTATTTATGGACAGTGGGCTGGCAGAATTGGATGGTATTCAATGATGACTTGAATGAATAGCTCGTGGAATTGAATACATATATACTCGCTGTTAACTCGTTTATCACCAACACTTTGAATGCAATAATAATGTAAATACCGATTCGTAGGCTCGTCATCTCCGAAAAAGAGTTCCGTTTTAACTTAATACATTAAATCGTTACTCTAATCGTTCTGTTTAAACCGATTCTAAACAGCTGACAGCTTTCCTCGGCTGGCGAAACATCCCTTTGACTCTCTTCTTAATAGAAAATTATAAAAAGTATAATACAATCTCGTTTAAACACTCTCACTCTAGGCTTCCATAACCTACAATTCGCTTGCTTACGATTCTAACTATAATTCACGCTATCGCACGAGGCAGGCGTTAATTCGTTTTATTGTTAATCGCATATTGTTTATTCGAGCTTCACTAGAGACTAGTTTCGAACCGTTTATGAATACAGTTATAACGCCTGCTTCATATAGTCGTAGGTTCTACCCTCTATACACGAATATGATCCTGTATAATTTACACGTTAATAGTGTCGACAACTTCTCAATAATCGAAAGTTGTTGAGCTTTCGTAAATTTCGTTATCAATAATTATTGAATCTCCTAGAATGGAGACTCATCGCAAACTTAAATCTGTTTTTCTCGAGTTTGTTAACTTAATAGAGATTCTATGAAAAATGTATAAGTCATGGCAATAGTTAAGAGCACGTGATCTCATTAATTTCTTACATGAAATGCGAATGATTAAAATACAAATCGTATGAAATAGTGTAAATAGTATAAAAATCGTTATGACCAATGTGAAATAAATTTTTCTAGTTCATTAATAGAAATCTTATTTAAAGGTGCCTGTTCGATTGAGCAGAACAATTGCTATTCATGTCTAGATATGATTAGAATTGCTTTTCGTTTCAAAACGAATCATTACTGATAGTCAACGAATTTTCGCAGATAAAATGTTTTCTTCAAAACTTTATCAAATGCACATTCAGATCGTGCCATCCAATAATCGACTTACTGCTACAACGTACAGCCAATAATTGATTATTGTGCCATTTTTGGAGATCGGTTTTCAAAATCGTATTAGACCATCTGGTAGACATACGATATTACATTTATATTACAATCTAGTAACAATAGATCAGTCGAAAAGTTCATGGCTTCGCGTATGCAAAAATATAAATAAAACAGATAGTATAAAAAGTCTTGTAAAAGCTACTTAACATACAAATTTTATCGCATGAGTAGTATCACCTAATATTGTGACTCTTAATACAACGAAACATTGGATTCTCATATACTTACATAAAATCAATGTATAAACCGCTGTTGGTAAATGCGTTTAAATATGTATTAACGCGATTTTTAATACTCTCAAAATACCATAAAATTCATAAAATTCATAAAATGATATAACCTACATCCTATACTGCATATATTCATATTTATACGTATGTATATTCCGTTATATTGTATGTATAAAAAACTCGTTAGGGTTGTACACCGTGTTTGATGTGTTTATCGACAGTATAAAATATGTATATTTCGATTGAAGAAATAAATAAATGCGGAAACGTGGCAGTGGTTAGGTATTGAAGGGATATTTGCTACCTATCCTCAACGAACGTTATCCGAAGCTTTGAAGATCGAATCGTATCTACGAAACGAACGGTATAAATACCTTGTATAACGATTACGATGAATACGATGAATACATACAAAAATCGTCCAAGTGAACAATTCTTCACTTTGATACCCTGGTCTCGGTAGTGACTTTACTGGGGTCTGGTAACCTGACTACTAATTGTGCTCCGTTTTGCATTGGTCTGGTTCCATTGGGCGTGTTTAGTTTGCTTATTGGCTGCGGAGCTGGAGGTAATACCTTTTTTGCTCCACTTAATTTTGGCGAGCAACATTGTTTGTCATCAAAGTCGTTCAAGTTGATGTTTGTTGTTTGATTTGGATAGATGGGGGCCTTCATGGGTGTACTGTGTTCATTGAAGCCACAATTTGGCCTCTGTTCGACGGAGTTTGTGTTTTGAAAGCTCGGTGGCAACATCTTGATCCCATTGCTGTGGTCATTCAAGTTGCAGAATGGTTGCTCCATGTTACCTTTGAAGTTCATGTCCTTTGGATCACACTTGTATATTGGCGCTGATAGCTGCGTGGAATTGGTTTTATTTGTGCTTTTGTGACTGCTTCCGGAATAGCTGGTGATAGATTCGTTACAGAAATCGCTCAGGTAAGTTTGGTTTATGTACCAGTTGTGCAGACGATGATGAATCTCCGGAAACTGCGGCCTGCGGTTTGCTACCTCGTGCCAACACTCTATCATTAGGCTGTAGATCATCGTTGGGCAGTCCTCTGGACAGGGTAATAATTGTCTTGATCGAATCATGTCTATCACCTCTTGATTATTGTACCCGTAATATGGCTGTAAATTAAAATGCGACATTCAATTTTACAATATGGTGCTCAAAAGATTTTTGGTTCTTCTATAATATCTTCACTTAGCGTTACGATCTATTCCATTACCTGTAAACCGTAACTATAAATTTCCCATAATACTACTCCAAAACTCCATACGTCGGATTCTGTTGTAAACTTGCCGTAAAGAATTGATTCTGGTGGCATCCACCGAACAGGTAATAGACTTTTGGACTGAACTCTATAGTAATCGCTACTATATATATCACGAGACAAACCGAAGTCGGAGATTTTTACTGTTAAATTCTCCCCAACTAAACAATTCCGCGCGGCTAAGTCTCGGTGAACATAGTGGTGACTAGCTAAATATTCCATACCTAATATGATATTTCAGTTTAATAAATGTGTATTAATAGATACGTGCATTAAAACTAATAATTTGAAACTGATCTAACCAGATGCAATTTGTAAAGCAATGTGTAAAAATTCTGGCTGCTCTAAAATTTTTCCGCTGCCATTATTCAATGGAACATCCGATCTTGGTGAATGACAAATGAGAAACTCATGTAAATCGCCTTGGGTCATGTATTCAAACAACATACACATTGGTTCCCCTTTCAATATTACGCCCAGTAGGCAAATAATGTTTGGATGCCTTAGGTCTGTCATCAGATCAACTTCCCGTTTGAAGTCGCTTTGTGTTTTAGGACTTGCATTCTCTTTTAATGTTTTTACTGCTACGTAAATTGGTGGTTCACATTTATTGCCTGTTTGTAATTCACCTTTATATACCTTCCCTAGAAAAGGTTCAGAAAGTTCTAGTTTAATATATAAAATGTTAAAACACGATTGTCCAACTTTATATATACCGAAAGCTCCTTCCCCAAGTTCTTGTAAAAGTACAACATTATTGGTAGTAAATTGTGGTACTCTATTATTGGACGTTCGACTACTACCACTACTTAACGTTCCTGTTCCTGGAGTTGTATTACCAGGACCGGCTAAAAGAGAACTCATTTCCATAGGTTGCGTTGTGCTTCGCCTTCCGTCGTATATATTTTTGTCACATTGTATACCAGTTAACATCTGTTTAATAAAATGCAAAATGTTACTTTAAATATACGATTAGGAAAATTGTAGAACTGTATTTATTTGAAGTATAATTTCTAAATTAAATAACATCTTACTTTATTTGATGGCAAATGATTCATTTGCCGTCTAGATTTTCTGCTTCTATAACAGCAGCAATAACAAACCAATATGACAACAAATCCTCCTGTTAGTACAAAACCAACAACTGCATAGATCCATAAGTTTTCAACTGTAAAGACAAATTTTGGTTCACTCTGTATGTTTGTCTTGATATTGTTTTAGATGCTTTAAGCCAATAACTTACCACACTTAGGTATATTACAAAATTCTTTTTGCGGTTTACTATCGACATAAACATAACACCACGGTTGTGATTCCTTATCACCTGGATTGCGACAATATGAATGCTTTCCAGCTAATTCAGGATAATCAGAAATCTGAAGATTGAATTCACCATGAGACCATTGCATACATGGTTTCCCGCTAATACTTGTTTTTATAATACCACGGTAAGACTTTCCATTTCCCCAATAGCAATAGTCATCTGCCAAAAAAGACAATTTTTGTATACTAAAAATCTATTGATAAAACCTTCAACAATTTATTAGTACTAGTAATTGCTTTATAAAACAATACTATATTTCTATAGTTAAAATATATATTCACGAAGTTTCATACGTACTTTCTTGTACATTGTTTCCTGAGGAAATTCCAAGACTTAAACAATCACGAGCCTCGGCAGTATCTTCCATCGGTAAATCGGAGCAGTCAATTAAAGGCACTTGATGTCCAATCAGTGGATGTCTCTTACCAATTGCATATTCTTTTTTACACAAATCGTTCTCTAGTATTTCACATTCTTTTCGACAAATCCTCCGTAATTTACGATTGATTTCATTTCTGTTAGACAACTGTATTTCTCCATAGCTTTGATTTATTATTTTTTTATTGGGTACTTTTCCTTCTTTATATGGGTTAAATTCTGAGCCAGGACCCAATGTGGGACTACGTTTTCTGGGAATACCATGAGATCCAGTAATATCGTCTGCATCATCCCCATCACCTGTATCTCTGGACAAATCACCTTGATTTGAATTCAAAAAATGAAATAAACTTGCACTAGCTTCAGAATTTTTAAGTTTAAGAATACTGGCAGGATCACGACATATTGGGAATGCAGAGTAACATAGTGATGGCTTTGCATAACCCTGACAATTTAATGAGACTTCACTGAAACATACAAATAAAAATTTATATTATTTAATATGATTTTCTATTTTTTTCTTTCTTTTAAATTCCATTATGTATAATTTACTTACTTTGAGTATTTAATAACACCAAAAGCCTTCATCAGTTTATCATCAAGTAATTCTTGGGTCATTGGATATGGAATATAAACT